CATTCAGTAATCCCTTTCATAGAAAAGTTGTGAATAGATTTAACAGTTCTTATATAGCTATTTAATCTTTATGATATATACCAAACATCTGCATTGACACAAAATTGCCGTGTCAAAAAACAAATTTTATCCATATACGGTTTCAATCTATTTGAAAATCCGAAAGTCCGCTTCTGTAAATATCATGAAATTCGTTCTAATTGTTTTCAGGTATGCATGGTTTTATAGCAGTATCATTTCTTACATAATATGTATTATTTAATTATTTAAAACATTTTTGTTTAATTGAAATATGATTTGCTCTCAGGATATAGGTATTTTTTTTCTACTTAAAGTAGTGCAGTCTACGCTTGCTTTGAAGTGAGAAATCGCAACAATTAACATACTAATAACCAGTGTTAAATAATTTATTCAATAAGTTTAGAAAGTTATGTCATTTTATCCTTGTAACATATTCTTTTACTGTTCCTAAAGGCATATCACAACGATAATTTGTAAATTGACTTTGCAATTGACAAAAAACCGCTAGTCATGATTAATGAAACAACTCCCTATTAGAAGCATTACATAATGATTCATTCATATTTAGCTTACTAATTAATTAATGAGCGTTGACAGATATGCAAAAATCGGCACAAAAAGATACATTACAAAACAGAAAACTATTTTGGTGTGTAGTTTTATTATTAGAATTCCTAATGCGTATAGTTCCGTTTAGTTGTTTTATCAAATTGTATTAGCCATGCAGAACTACATGTATTGTTGTTTCTCTGTGTATTGTGTGCATGGCAACAGAAAAAACAATACAAACAAAACTCAAAGATGTGCGCTTCATTGTAAGAAGACTTTTTTGGCAATTACAAAATAGATATTGCCAGTTGTTCTGAAACACCTAAAACAAATAACAGCCAAGAGTACCAAACAACTTTTTAGGCTGCAATTTAAATATATATATATGTATATGAATAAGAAGATGTGGTATGATTGCCAATGAGACAACACTCCACTAGAGCCCAAATGACATTTAAGTTAGTAACCATAGGTATAGGTCAACATACGGCCTTCAACGATGAGCAAAACCCATACCGCATAGCACATCTCTCCGTTAATGAACAGTGTGAGGTACTTGGCTTCATCGTCCGTTCATAAGCATCCTACCTTCATATTTTACTCCCAAATTACATATACAGTAAATTGGAACGAAACTTTGTTGAACTGCTTAGATGCAAACTCCCCGGCAGTTCCATCTCCGATCCGCATACTACTCTACACTGATGGAGTAAAGGAAAATAGTTCCGGAACGGAAACGATCACTGTACGGAGTTTGGCTTAGATGTAGATCATCTTTGAAGAAGTAACCAGTTTTATAACTATGAATAGATATTGCAACAAACGCTCTTTGTTGAATAATACATACGAAGCAAATACTGTACCTAAGCCTTTTATGTATGGTCCGTGGAAATTTAGTGTAATTTTAACACAGCTGCGATGTTCAGCCTCATTTCTAAATAACGACCTATTTGAATCAAATATAATACAAAGTCCATATTGTGTTTGTGGCGCTCCGCGTGAGGATTCATTTCATTTCTTCTTTAAATGCAATAAATACACAGATATAAGGAACGATCTATTAACCAACATTCATCGTTTTCAAGTGACAATAAATCTAAAGTTGCTCACTGAGGGTAGCCAAACTTTTACATACGAGGAAAATTGTGAAATAATTACAAAAGTCTTTAAATATATTAAAAAATCAAAAAGATTCATTGTAGTATAATCAAATAAGATATGAATAAACAAAAACACCGTGTCGACAGAATTTCTTTTATTTATTTTTTTTTTATATTTGTATTATTTCCTTTTTTTTTCTTTTACATGTATTTATATTTTTCTTTTTTTTTTCTTTTTCTCAATTCTTTATCCTTTTCCTTGTTAATTGTGTTAGGATTTTTTTTCTTCTTCTTCTCAGACTGTGCAAATGCCTCATTTTACTATTACCTTTAATATATATCTACTGAACTGTGCATGCTCTGTATAATTGTTATTGTAATATTATGTCACGTAGAAGACTTCATAAGTTGGTTAAACTTGTGTTCGATCCCTTTTGTATCTTTCAGCAAATAAAATTGTTATAAACTATTGCAACAAATTTAATTTTTAAAATCTGCTTGAATTTACAATTAGTCAAATTCTTACCTTTTTGACAAAAAGATGCTATAAAGTTAATTACAATTTCTCTGCTAAAAATGCAAAATACATTAACCGTTTCGATAGCAACCTTTTTCAGATTATATAACACAGTGAGTTAATATTATAAACATGTTCTTCTAGATTATTCAAGGCTTCTTGAAGGTTAAGTTCTGTAGAAAAAGGCATTTGTTCCTATGACTTTCGGAAATTAAATGTACAAATAAGAGATATTCTTACAAACAGATACGAAGAACATGTCAATTTTGATGAATTTTTTTTAGAAAAAATCCATTTACTATTAATATTTATATATTATTGCACAGTGTGCTAGTGACCTAATACGATATATATATACGGGTCAGTAAATTCCATATGGGGCAATAAAACGCAACACACATTTTGGTGATTTTTTTTTTACAAGATCACGCTTAATCTTCATGTAATTGCTTTTCATGTTTAGCATAATTCTTTCTGTTTAGAAACATTCAATACCTGACTTATCTGAGGTAACTTAGTTAACATACCGGATTATTAACGACCCACAAATTTCTAAGAATAAAATTGGAAACCAATGTATGATTTTTTTAAAGTTTTTCTTCTTCGTGGAACATTTCTTTGAATCTATACCCCAACCTAAATCAGTTGCATTTCCATTTTACCGAGAATGAGCAATGGAATTATGTACAAGTCCATTAAGAAGTTGCAGGCAGGAATACGTCAACGTGCTGTGGGTAGACAGTTTCACGTCGGAATATATTCTTAGAGTCCTCACAACAACGGTACAGACATACGAGATTTGTTACTGACCACCCATAACCAGATCAACCTGAAGAGGCAACGCCACGCCATAAGATGTCATTACGCAACTCCATTATAGAGACAGGTTTACTACTGGAACGTCAACTACTAACCTAGTGTTCGAATGTCCTGGCAGACAAATTCACTCCATAAATGTTTCCAATACACCGAATGCCATATAATCGGCTGACTTTTCTGTCAATCGTTTAGGCGTTGGTTACAAGCCGTCACTGTCTTCAACGGTGACACATCCATTGAAAAGGGAAAAAAACAGGGTTTCAGTTAAAAAGATAAAATAAAATGATAATGAATCATTTTTATGAGTATTTACCACAAGTATACTAAAGAAAGTTGATAGATGTTGAGTGTTTATCCAATGTTTGAATAAATTATTTTATTAATAAACCCTTTGCAGGGCGTTTTGTTCGAAAATGTATAAAATATCAACCATATAAATAGTTTCCATTTAGATTCGTTTTTATCATATGTAATTGGTAAGATTACCAACAAGGGTGTGAACAGTGGTAAGTTGCATATTTCATTCTCAAACAAACTCATAATCATACGGAACACGAGAAAGTTTACAGACGTTTCATGCACGTGATCAAATAGTGTGTGTGTTTCTTATTTGGAATTGAAGTGAGGTTGAATGAATATTTTTGTGTGAAAACTGTTGAAGAGTTTGTGATATGGAAGTGTTGGTAAGGTATTATAGCTTCATGCAGGGTATTACCCTAGTAGCAACAAAAAAAAGCACGACATACTCATGCCATTGTCAAACGTGTTGCAGAACCCACTATTGTCAACTTTAAGGGCATACGATACAGTTTTGATCCTACGGTGAGTTTTTGACGAAAGTTTGCATACAAGCTATTTTTCACCTAGGCAATTAAAAAATGTAATAAAGAATATATCTTCATGTGCTACTTTTAGAGATAGATGGGGTAGAAATTTAAGACATTTACTGGACATTTCGGTTTCTTGGACATTTCTGCCCTTTTAAAAGTCATACCTAACTTTTTTGTTTCAAAAGATAAACACAAGCAGATTTTTGTAAAAAAAAACATCTGTAATATCTTCTCTACATAAGTGTGTTTTGAAATTGTGTAACAATTCTTTGGCAATAACTCATTTTATCACATTTTTCATGATTTTAGTAAAAACAAAACGGCATTTTTGGCCGTATATTTATCTACAAATGTAATTTAAAAAAAATCATCGGTGAAATGTTCATAAAAAATGGCACACATAATCTTCATACTACATAATCGAGCCAACTGTCGTATTTAAAAAGAGGGGTCTATGAACTCATTTTTAAGTTAAATCAGTCTGAATGATAAAAACCAGTCGAAAAACGCATATTTTTTCGATATGTAACAGTTTGACGTCGCGGAAAATAACATTTTACGTGAGCAACGTCATTGTCTCCCCTGTAACTGTATCGTATGCCCTTAAATCAAAATGTTAATTGAAATGAAGTACATAACGTATAGTCATAAAAAAAACCATTAACATGTTCTTTATTGGTAATGCGGTAAATATTGCAATCGTATATAGATATTGTGGTAACAGTAGAAAAAATTATATACATTTTAGTCTTATTGTTTAAATTCTTTTTTTAATGACAATGCGTAGATGGGTTAAATGAACGATTCACCTTTTACCGATAAATGAGAGTTTTCCCCTTTTATGGCAAAATATTTATCAACAAAAGTTTTAATTTATTCAAAATTATAATATACAACAAAATAATTTATTGTTTTAGTTTGAACGTGGGAATTTTATTATAATACCCACTTGAAATTTTTTTTCATTATTATTTACACATATTTCCAGTAGTTTCCTGGTGACCTTTTAAAAAAACGTCACGAATTTGTCACACAAGTATGAAATATATGAAAGCTTTATTGAATGAGATAAGAATTTTGGATGACATTACTACACTTCTAATCAAAATATACTTATTCACTCACCACAAAATTCGACATTTGACCTATTCGTGTTAAACAACTTCATTAATAAAGCAATTACCTGTAGGTTTTTATGGTCGTCCTTACTTTTCTGCTTCTTCATTTGCCAGACAACGTTGAGTACAGCTATAAAAGGAACGAACTTGTTCCTGTCACAAACATATCCACTTTATGTTGTGGTAAGCTTTTTAGCTATTTTAGTTTCTCTACTATCTTGATAATTTAAACAATTATTCTTTTCAATTTTTTTATTGATTAATTTATGATTTTCTAATTAACTTATTCAATAGTATTCTTAACAAATTTTAGGTGTGCTTTGATAGTTGCCAAGATGTCAACAGTGAACCTCAGGTTGATCTTAGCAATATTTCTGTCAGCATCTTACAGTTTGTCACGTGAGTAATAAATAAACTCAACATGGATACTTGGCTTAAAATTTGTACGCCAGACGCCGGTTTCGTCTACAAAATACGCATCAGTGACGCTCGAATCAAATAGTTGAAAATGAAAAATAAATTACGAAGTTTTGCCAAATACAGCTTATGTAATCTATTCCAAGGTTAAAAATCCTTAGTATTTCGAAAAATTCAAAGTTTTGTAAACTGTTAATTCATAACTTACATGACCATATCAATGATAAATCATATCAACACAGTGCTGACTACTGTACACTGTTCCAATACAATATTTGATTTTCATGTTGTTTGTTTTGTCCTGGCATTTAAGTAAACGTTACCGTCAAAGAACAACCTTGATACGTAATAATAGTCCATTGATTATATTAATTCATTTGGAATCCACTATTTTGTTTGATTTTTTTAGTAACTTACTTAAATCTCGTCAAATCTGTATTTGTATCGGTTGTGACATTTGACATCGATAAACCACCGTATCTTTAAATAAACAACCAAATGTTTTCTTTGCATCTTTTTATAGAAGTTATCGATAATAACAGAATAGAACGATTATGTCCTAAACCAGTTGGAGGATGGTCTATGCCATGTGGCATACAATGTAACAACGATAACGAATGTCCTGCTGACAGGAAGTGCTGCAGACTTAACTCGTGCGCATCATATTGTGCTGAACCGATTTACGTCGATCAGAATGGTGTTATCCCGAAAGAAAAATTGTTAACAAGTGAAGAAAATAGTTTTCAAAATTTTGTCAATTCAAAAGTAAATCAGGCTCAAATTATAAAAACTGCTGTCGACGAAAAACAAGAGACTGATTTGAAAAATTTACCTCCACCATTAAGCCTATTTGAATCTAACAGTATAAGTGATACTAGAAACGAAATACCTAATGTAGGTTGCTTTGATGAATGTGCCAAAAACGTTGATTGTGAATCAGGATATTCTTGTGCCAAGGCGGGATGTCGTAATGTCTGTAAACTTGATAGTTTAGATTTATCGTCACCAAGTGTTAGTTCAGACTTAGTATCACCAAGCGTTAGTTCACCAAGTGTCAGTGTAGACATAACACCACCAAGTACTAGTTTAGACTTAACACCACCAAGTGTGAGTTTAGACGTAACATCACCAAGTGTTAGTTTAGACTTACCATCACCAAGTGTTGCAAGCCAAATGCAAAACATGGATTTCAGAATGAATAGTCTAGATTTTACAACACCAAGATTTATAATGCAAAGGGAAGTTGGAGTTGAAACAGAGCAATTTTCAAATATCCCTACAACCTCAGCAGATCAGGTAGTAGACAGTCTTCAGATAAATGATTTGACAAAGGATGTGTGTATAAATGAATGCTTTAACCATTTCGACTGCAGAAATGGATTCTGTATCAACATTGGCTGTCACACGTTCTGCAAATCCTCAATTTAGACAGATGCTTAAATGTGATGATGAAATCCTGAAGTTCTTTTACCGTTTTCCTACTTTATGCTCAATTTATTTTTTTAATTCTACCAAAGAATTCTGGAAATCAACAGTTAAGTGAACGTGAGATTGTTTTCATATATTTTCTGTCAAGTATTTTTGTATATTTAGATAAAATATTTAAAAAAATCGATAATCATTTTCAGGCCGAAAAATCCTTAAGACAGTTTGCTACAGTGTATCACTTTGCTGCAGTGAATGTATCACTTGAAATGATGACAAACGAGTACACACACTAACACTATATTCAATTTAAACGAATGCGTGTACAAAACATTGTTGCTTTCAAATTTTATTTCAGTACCATTCAATACTGTTTTATAAATGGAACTATAATAGGTATACATGAAGTGTCATTATATATCGCGTGAAAAAAATAGAATTATGCTTTGAAAAAATAAAATTTTCAAGGACGCCACACCATAGATGTTTTCCGATTCATTCTTTAATAAGATGAAGAGACTTGGCATTTGAACTTATTGTTTGTTTCCACATGTTATTTTCGGTACTTGATAATTGGCCAATTAATTTAAAAAAAAATCACTACAGCTAAGTTTGTACTTTTAATGTCGATGTCAAGGATTATACAAACTACAACACAAAGAAACGCAAAAGAAAACACAAACAAAACAAAACAACTATGACGCATAAAGCTACACCAACGTAGATGCAAACGTCTGCACTAACAACAAACACTAGTAAACCAATATTGATCTGAAATGGTCATTTTGATGTTAACATCATCTGAAAAGTCTGAACAATAGATAATTCAGTCTTTTTTAGTCTTTCAGTCAATTTTCAGACTTATCCAATGCGGTAAGTCAGTATTGTTCAGACAATTCGCTTGCAGTCAATTCAGTACTTCAGACAATATAGTATGATGATGAGATGTACAGGTAGATATCATCTACTTAACAGTCTAAAAATAGATTGAACAGAAAAGTGCTGATTTAACCGCAGTGGATGGTTCGGAAACTTGACTGATAGACTGAAAATTACTTGATAATATATTGTTACGTCTTTAAAGAGCTGTTCAGATCAAAATAACAGTTTCAGATTAAAATTCGTTTTTTTGTAAAATAAATTCATCGGAAGATGCCAAGACCTTGTTGATAAATATCCCGTATCAACTTCACAAATAACACATGATGGTCTTGATGTATAGATTCTAGGTAATGACGTTGTTTATCATCTTAATTACGTGTTATAGTGTTCTTTTATTTGTCTTTGTAAATAAATAACGTTTACTATTTGGTCCATTTTTGGTAATATCCTTTAGACGTGGCTCGGTACTTGTACATCCCGCCATTGTGTTGTTGTGCTGTTGTCATTTTTTGTATTCTTGTGTTTCAATTTTGCGTATGTGCTTTTTCTGTATACCATTTTGTTTTTCTTTGTTGACATATTTGTTTGTTTATATAGCGAGTGAGATTATAACACAGTGTTGACTGCAGTACCCGTATGTTTGACATTTTTACCTAATGTCTGTTTGTTTTGTTCACACATTATTGTCAATATAATGGCATTTTATGCGACTGTCATAAAAGTAAGAGGTTTAGCTAGCTTTAAAACCAGGTTCAATCCACCACTTTCTACATAAGAAAGTGCCTGTGCCAAGTCAGGAACATGACAGTTGTTTTTCATTCGTTTGATGTGTTTGAGCTTTTGATTTTTCCCAATTGTTAAGGGACTTTCCGTTTTGAATTTTCCTTGGAGTTCGGTATTGTTGTTGTTTCACTTTTTACCACCGACAGTGGTAAATATAGTACTGTATCGACATTTTCAACAGTTAAATGAGATAATGGACATGATTTAAAACAGAATATGAATTAAATGAACACTGTATCAAATTAAAACGAACAGTTTTGAAATGTGCACGTGTCTTTTAGATTAAACAAAGTCATGTCTTTGCAAGTTCGTACATAAACAAGAACTTTTTATTTTTCTACTTGGTATACTATTTAAGACTTTTTCATTTCCCCAAGCCAAAAAAAAATTTTTTTGAAAGAAAATTCAGATGTAAACTTTACTTTCTGATATAAAGATTTGCAAGACTCTGGTACGTTTTAAATAAAATTGTTCAAATTTTTCTTTAAGAAAAAGCAGATAATAAAGGCAACAGTAGTTTACCGCTGTTAAAAGTCATAAATCAATTGAAAGAAAACAAATCTTTGTAACAAACTAAAACCGAGGGAAACACATCAACTATAAGAGGCTTAGGAAAACAACGGAACAACAGAAACACTGAAGAGCAACAAAAACAAACGCCAACATACATAGAAACGAACTATTAGATAACAACTGCCATATTCCTGACTTGATACAGGATATTTTAAGAAAAAATTGGTGGGTTGAATCTGGTTTTATGGCTAGTCAAACCTCCCGCTTATATGGCAATGTAAAACAATATCGATAAGTGTGTTATTTTCAATATATTAATTTTTGTATATATGTATGTATATATAGACAGGATATTTATTGCAGTATAATAATTTGTAAATGTTATACATGATGACCTTCGGGAAGATTACTTATAAATATTGAGGTCATCCTCTTTAAAAAAAGTTTATTGATGTTTTGATTTTATATACACAATTGTTATTTCCTATTTCCAAAACATTCTTCAATAATATTTGCGATTTTCTAATTAGACCTTGGAATTTTAGCCATTAAGAAACTCTTGACATTAGCCTTTCCCCTCTGGAACATACCATTTTAAATCTAGTAATTCTTACTTACCGGTGGAGGTTTTCTCCTCGAAGGTATCGCCAGCGCAGTAGTCACCACTTCTGTGTTGACATGATTTATCATTGATATGGTCATAATTATAATTTATTGGAAATACTAAGGATTTCTACCCCAGGATTGGCCTACCTTAACTGTATTTGGCATATCTTTTCAGAGTTATGGGTCCTCAATGATCTTCAACTTCGTACTCTATATGGTCTTTTTAAACTCTTGGAATTGATCGTCACTGATGAGTCTTAAATAGACGAAAACCGCGTCTGGCGTACCAAATTTTACCCCTGGTATCTATGATGATTTCATTTACAACCACTGGATCGATGCCACTGCTGATGGAAGTTTCTTTTTCGAGAGTATCACCCTCCCCCAGTTGTCAGAAAATCTGTGTTGACACGAATTTTCATTAAAATGGTCATAATTACAAATCAACTGTTTACAAAACTTAGAATTTTTTTAAATACTAAGGGTTTTCTTTCTCAGAAACAGATTACCTTAGCTGTATTTGGCATAATTCGTTCGGAAAGTTTGGTCCTTAAAGCTCTTCATCTTCGTACTTTATAAATTTTTTTATGGTCTTTTTAACTATTTTGAATCGAGCATCACTGATGAATCTTATATAGACGAAACGCGCTTCTTGAGTACCAAATTTTAAGCCTGGTATCTACATTGAGTTTATTTACATTCGAAGACTATTTTTTAACTTATTTCACGCTCTATTTTGAGTTCATGCGTTTCCCTCAGTTTTTGTTTGTTACCTATATTCGTCTCTTCCTAATTGATTTACGAGATTTGAACATCGTAAACTAGTGTTGCTTTAATTCACATCTTTGTTAGATTCAGTTGTCTTAGAATGTCTTGTAATCCCCTTCTTTTTGGGTTTGTGTTTTTAATGTAATTCATCTGTCCGCAATGTTTAAAAAACATATATATCAAGTATTGAAAGCATCGAAACTAAGATGGACACTAACAATTAAACCAAAATTTAATGTTAGTCTTTCCCTAAAGGAGTAGTAACGGTTTTGATTGTTTAACGAGGTGATTGGTATTAAAATTTAAAAAAATCATGTATTTTCCAGTTGCTACAAAAACCCACCATTTTTCTTAAAATGTCCTGTACCAAATCAGGAATATGGCAGTTGCTCTTAGGCTTGATTTAACTTTGGCATCTTAAATGACATCATAAAGAAGATTTGTGTCATCCAAAACAATTATTGCCAGTGTAAAGATACACAAATCATATTCATCCTATGTGAATATTGTTAGGGCGAGGTTATACTCTTAATTGTTTTCTTAGAGTGTGTAAGTAAAACTAAAAAATACAACAGTCAACAAAACCAAACAAATTGACTAATATGAACTAAAACCGGGTAGAAATCGGGTACTCCTACAAGCTCAACAGTACTTGCTCCGGTAGTGTCACTGTTGATAGGGTGTCGCACAACAGCGGATTGGTAAGTGCCTCTTATATATATATACTACAAATAGATTACAATTTAGTAAAGCTAAAATATCATAAAATTTAAAAGTGTGAAATTAAAAGTTTTTCCCTGGACAAATAAGGCACAAGACCCATAGTGAAATTAACTGTTGACATAGTCTATGACCTAGAATGCAGGGCCTCGAAATAGTAATTCCTATTAAACTGACTTGACGCATCCTACGCCGTCGCCTACGCCGCTGGAAAAAAACACCTATGTCTCCGTTTCCGCGACTTTCGTTGCAAGCGTGACAAAAAAAAATCACGCTGATAATACAAAACAATGTATACAAGAGGCTCCAAGGAGCCTGTATTGCTCACCTCTCAATTTTGCATATATTAGTACAATGCAATGAGAACATTTCAAAACGTTTCCAGACGAAAACACAAAAAATGTAATATTCTTCAGGGGCAATAACTCCTAAGGAGTAAATTGACGATTTCAAAGTTGTTGATTGATATGTAGTTTAGATCACGCTGATATTTGTTTGTAGCTTTCAACAGTTTCTCTCCATCTACTGTAACAATCTATGCAAAAAACCGCACAAATCAGCATTCAAGAGCAATAACTTCTATAAGGAGTCAATTGACGACTTTGGCAATGTTAACTCAGTACTAGATCTTGTCCTGCTAGTTTATGTTGCTATGTACAGTTTATTTCAATCGATTCAAGTTTCTGCTAAACAAGACAAATACCGGCTCTGAAACTGATTCTTTATCTTCAAACAGGAAGTTGCTACGAGGCGGATTTGAATTTGCTTAAAACAAAATATAATCAAGCTGCAGATAAAAAAAAACAATCCCTTCAACAAGAGCCGTGAACAGTTTGATGAATGAGTTTGTAAGATTTTGGTCGAGCAATATATTTCACCTATTATTCATTTTTTTTAACTATTCATGTCTTAAAACAGTGATAACCGTAAACTCTTGGTTGCAACAAAACGCATGCTTGATATCCGTAAACAGACTATTGAAAATTCTCGGTAACTGTAAGACAACTTAAAAGCCCATTACCCAGTAGTTTTATCAGATAGAAATGGGTTGGCTCAAAAGACAGACTGCGCATAGGACAGAGAGATATGTCATCTAGTGGGCAAAAGAATTCCGATAAAATTAAAAGAAGCAAATATTGGGCACGAATTACACGATCAGGAAACAATTGATGATACGTATTGGCTAGGCATATGCGTTTAAACAACTAAGAATAAGATATGTATCTCCCCTACAAGTCTAAAAGGAAATGAAACAATAGCTTATGTACTGTTTTACTATAGAAAATAGAAATCTTAATGCAGAATTACCAAAGTAGCTCAGTCACATTTCTAGAAATACCGTTGTATTCTTTCTATGAGTATAATAACAACCAAAATCACTTTGACTTTAGATATTGACACTGACAACAGACAGGTATACAAAACTAATCAAGAAATCAGCTTTGAATGCCAATTCTTCGTCATTTACTTCAGACTTCATGTATAAATTAAAGATACTTTTAACAGTTAAAAAGTGAGATCACATCCTACCTATCTCTGACCAAAAATCTGGGCGAGAGAATAGCCGAAAAATATAAGAAAGATCGTTGGATATAGAAATTGCCATAGATTTTAGATTTTAGTATCTGCGACAATGTTCTTCGCCTCAAAAGAATAATGCTAGCTTGGTGCATACAGACTATAACTTACTATAACTTTAGTAACCCAGAAGTAGCAAACAACAAAAAGAAGGTTGATTGCCCATCTGCGCCAATCCTCTATGAAATGAAAGGTAAAAGTCATTTTATTGCAAAATGCCATACTGCAACCTTCTAGCTGGTGAAATCTAAGTTATAAGACAAATAATTTAGTTATACTTTTCAGACAAACTATGGTGTAAGCTTTGCAAAAGGTAAAAACAACTCACAAAATGAAGCTGAGCTTAGATTTTGGGTCTTCAACTTCGTACTTTATTTTCCCGTTTTCCCTTTTTTAATTTGAGCATCACTGTAGAGTCTGGCGTACAAAGGTTTAAGCCTTGTATATATAATGAGTTTAAATAGATATTAGATACAGAAGAAAAGAAAAGAAGTGAGTATACGCACACATTAATGTCTACAACACAACATCATCACCATAAATTAATGGGCCAAAAATTATAGAATCAATCCTCCAAATCATTGAGGATCACATCTCTAAAAACATAAATCAAGTGAATGTTATAAACAAGCAACTGAATACATAAATATCAAAAAGGAATTTTTAAGACGTCGTAGAAAACGCAGAAAACCGAAACCCAAATCATAACTCGGATATAGAAAATCAAGGTATAATACTTCAACCAGCTATAGAAGTGATGAAGCCTGTCTCTGCACCTACAGATATGATATAGAAACGAGAGGCTCTAAAGAGCCTGTGTCGCTCATCTGCATCTTCAACAATGGCCACTTTTTAGTAAACAT